CTACAAACTAAAGGTGAACATTATCTTGTGTCAGCCTATGTTTAAACATCCTTAGTGGCAGTTAAGCGTCATTAGTTCTTATACTCATTCTGCCCACCTCTTCATTTAGGTATCCCTCCTCCTCGTCCTGGCATGATGCGCCCACCCTTGGTGCCTCCCCTTGGACCTGCCCCACCTGGGCTCTTCCCACCAGCTCCCTTGCCCAACCCAGGGGTGTTGAGTGCCCCACCCAGTCTCATTCAGCGACCGAAGGCGGATGATGCAAGTGCAGCCACCATCGAAAAGAAAGCCACAGCGACCATCAGTGCCAAGCCCCAGATTACCAATCCCAAGGCAGAGGTCACACGGTTTGTGCCCACTGCACTGAGAGTGCGTCGGGAGAATAAGGGGGCCACTGCTGTTCCCCAAAGAAGGTCAGAGGATGACTCTGCTGTGCCTGTTGCCAAAGCAGCCCCCAGATCTGGTCCTTCTGTTCCAGTCTCCGTACAAACAAAGGACGATGTTTACGAAGCGTTTATGAAAGAGATGGAAGGGCTGCTGTGACAGCCTCTCATGCTGCCTCAGGCTTCTGTTGAGAGCACTGGTTTGTGGAACAAGAGGCTCTGGTTAAACTTAGGAAGAGCAACGTCCACTGTCAGGGTGTTTTCCAAGTTGAGTTCCAGGAGCCTCCTAACGCTTGCCTTGCTGGGATTCCCTGCACAGGGTGTTTCTTTACAATAGACCAGGACGGAAGCACTGCTGCTAACACCCGTTCCCTTTGACACCACCATTTCAGCCCCTTTCTTCCCTTTTCCATTTTGGGAATTGTATCAGAGAAGTCTTAGTTATTTGTTTGACTCGTGCTATGGGCACTGGAGTAGAGATTTCTGGGGGGAAAAAAGGTTTATTTCATCTTGACTTTTGTGTTTGAGTTATTTTTAATATTTTCCTGTAAATATTTTGTAATATTTTACTTTTAGTGAAATGGATTACAATGTCATTTCCTATTTCAAAGCAGGATATGTGGGAAGAAAATGTACAATTCTTGGATTAAAGTTATTTCCCACGACCTAAACTCTCGAGTGTTTGATGGAGAAATAAAATGTTCCATACCAAGATAACAGTCTTATGTTTCATGGTGATGTGTAAACTTCCTGGTTCGTGGACAGAACAAAGCACACATTTACAGCGTTACTTCACAGGAACTGCCACGTCTCATTAGGTGGGAATGAATTTTATTAGAAATGCAAAAGGTAACTGAAATCTAAATGGATAAAGAGGAAGAATTCCTTCAAGATTATACTGGCTTCCCAGGAATTCAGAGGTGTGAACAAGGTTTCCCCTTTGTTTAGACGGGGCTCTGAAGAACCTTAGAGCTGTGGACATGGTAGTTTGAGTAAGAATGGCCCTCAGAGGCTCTGTATTTGGACACCTTTTCCCCAGTTCTTGGCATTGTTTGGGGCAGGCTTGGGGGTCTGGCTTTGTTGGAGGAAGTATGTCATGGAGGCAGGCTAAGAGTTCCCTTTCCAGTTGCTTTTTCTGCTTTGTACTTGGTTTCAAGATGTGAACTCTCAGCTTGCTGCTCTTGCCGTGCTGTTCCCACCATCATAGACTCTGTCCCTTTGCAACTGTAAACCTAAATACACTCTACCATAAGTCACCCTGGTCATGGTCTTACCACAGCAACAGAAAACATCCGATAGGAGAACTTTGACAATTTCCACAGAAACAGTGCTCATGTGACTCCCACAGACAGGCTTGTGTTGCTAGGCACACCTTTAGTGCCCACAGATCCTACAGCATTAAGAGGGGAGATTTCTGCTCTGTTGTGCTAAGTTTCATACCTAAGTCCCATTCTATCAAGGTCAAATTCTTAATCACCATAACATTTGCCCTTTGGCTTCATGGAGTTCACATTTAGCATGGCCAATCAGTGCCAACTACAGCATGGGCTAAACCTTTGCATTCCAGAAGTACAAAACTGAACAAACCAGTTCTCCCGGATCCAAAGTCAAAACTGGCTTTGTAGGGAAACAGCAAACAAACCCTGGCCACACTGCACCCTGTCCCACTGAACGGCATTTCTCTGCAGGGAAAGTGTCAGTGTGCCAGTAAAACCAGGCAATGTATATGATCCAAAGTCTGACTTCAGGCCATAGGGAAAGGTGCTAGGCTGCCTTCATCACACCTCGCGCTTGAAACACTGGCCTTTTAAATTAGCCTCAAGGACTTAATCAAGGGCTACAGGCTGGATAGTTCTGCAGAACTGTTTGTCAATAAACCGTTTTTCAATTTTTAAAAACTCTTCAGAAATTGTGAAGTGCAGAAGTGTTTGGAAGGATCCTACACATTTCTGGAGCAGTGGTAGTGAAGGCTGGGTGGAAATGGGGGCAGTCGCCATCTTGTCTCTTGTTTATCGTGTTCTTCCAGTAACGTTCTCATGTTAAGAATAAGGAGAAAAAGAGATGGGTTAGGTGTTGCCACCTTTGCCCCTGTTTCTTCACATTTTGCAAGTTCCAGATGCCTCATCTTTAGTAAATTAGACTCAAATGTCAAACCAGCACTTAAAACCTAGCTATGTTTGAGTCTGTAAATGTGGAACTCATGGATACAGAAGGGTGACTGCAGGCATACTGGCTCCAAGTGGATCACTCACAACTATCTAATGGAACTAATGACACCTGAGAGTGACTTTCACTGTGTTGAGACAGTCTACCTGTGCAGCCCTGTCTTTCTTGGAACATGTAGCTGAGACTGGCTTTTGAATCAGGGTCTTCCTTCAGTCTCCCAAGTGCTGCAATTAGAGTTGTAAACCTCACTTGGCTACAATTCTTTAAAACTCCTACCGCTTGGGAAAGCTGTCCCACCCACCCCACCCCACCCACAAGACCTGCCTTTGTCAACTCTCAGCATTTGTGATAACCTGCACAAGACAGGACCCACTTTGCCATGGGTGGGCTCAAGATCCCACCTTTCACCCCAAGATTTATGCAGTCATGGTTGTTGGGGAGGGACTCCCAAGCCCCACCCCCTGCTTTCTTACCCTCCCCAGGACTCAGTTACTGTTTTTTCCTCAATGGTACAGCCTCCAGTGTGGCCTTACCCCTTTTAAAGGAGCCGACCCTAATTAAACTCACTAGTCCATCAAGCTACACTTGGGTGCCCACATTTCTGTTAACTGCCATCAGCGCCCCACAGGCTGAGTAGGTATTTGTTCATATCCGGTTCACATAAATACCTACTCCTGTTTATTATTTATTCACAGGGCAAACCCTTAGTCCGTGTAGATGGCATATTTCAATGGAACTAATGATAATATACGGCACTAAAACATCTTAGTCCTCCAAACAGGAATTATTAAGTTTACCTCCAGAAACTGCCCATAATGCCACTGGAGTCTGCTCTCAGGTGTCAGAGGGAGCAATCCGCCTCTTTATGAGAGGTGTGTGTGACCCGATCTTTGCACATCTTTCAAGATGACCATGAAGACTAATTCCACCATCCATTCAACAAACAGCAGAGAAGCAATACTGACAGACACTCATTTGTAATTTTTATTTAATTGTCCTTTTTCCTGTCTTCAAGAACCATGGGGGGGGGGATGTTTCTGGACAGTGGCAACCTAGCTGGCCGCCTCTTCCCAGCTGTACTCTCCCCACTTGACACCAATGCAAGTAGAGGCCAGTCAACACTGGGGATGAGGGCAATGGACCAGCTGCTGCAAATGAAGAGGAAGACTTCAACTCTGACTCCCAGGAAAACATGAAGCCAGAGGGACACCTACCCTGGGGTGGGTACTGTGGGCAGAATGAGTTCCTGAGGATGGAATGGAATGGCCAACAGAAGAGCATTCCCAGGGACCTGCTTTCTCCTTGCTCTTTCTTTTTTTTCTTTTTGTTTTCGGAGACAGGGTTTCTCTGTGTAGCTTTGGAGCCTATCCTGGCACTTGCTCTGTAGACCAGGTTGGCCTGAAACTCGCAGAGATCCGCCTGCCTCTACCTTCCGAGTGCTGGGATTAAAGGCATGCGCCACCAACGCCCGGTTTCTCCTTGCTCTTAACTTTGCCATGTCACTACACAACTCTGCTGCTAGTGAAAACCCTGGACTCCAGGAAAGTTGTTAATTATCCCTAAAAGTAGGGTTAAGTTTTAAGTAAAATCAAGCCAATTTCCAGAAACAATGCTCAAGAGGCTATTAAGAAGCTAAAACTTGAGGGGAAAATACATGTATATATTTTGAGACACACTCCTAAAGTAGCCCGGGAATGGCCTCGAACTCACTAGCCACGAATGACGTTTTACTCCCGATGGCAGGTGTTCGCCACTATGAGCAGCAGGAGCAAATAATTTTAAAAGCTACGCCTTTAATCCCAGCACTCGGGAGGCAGAGGCAGGTGGATCTCTGTGAGTCCGAGTCCAGGATGGTCTACAAAAAGCTAGTTCCAGGACCGCCTCCAAAGCCACAGAGAAACCCTGTCTCAAAGAAAAAGAAAAAAAAAAAAAAAAAAAAAAAAGCTGCTAAGCATACACTAAAGACCGAGGGCCCCGATGTTATGCAATACCGTCCAGGGAGCAAACTCCATGACTCACTTCCGTATTGCACAAATTACTTCATTTTCAAGAAACTTGGACACAGGGTGTGAGGTGAAGATGGCAGGTATTCAGATCATGAATACGTAGCATCTATTACTTAGAAGGCTATCGATCTTAAATGACTAAGTCCCTATGTCCTTCTCTTTTTCCAAGCAGCTCAACTTTCCTAAGGATGGCCAGCGAGGCAACTTCTGGTCCATGCGCTCAAAACACCTCTCCTGCCACTGCTCGCTGCGAAAGCCTGGGTCTCAGGCAAAGTCGATTCCGGAGTAGCCTCCGGCACATCTGCGCCTCTCCTGCCCACTGTGATGCTCCAGGGAGAGCTCCCAACCGAGGCGTCGGGTCCCCTCCGGCTCCCACACGGCCTCAAGGGTGGCCCGCGCCCCCACCCAGCCACCCGTGGGTCCCGCGACTACACAGCTCTCCGAATTACTCGCTTTTCACCGACTTTATTGGCTGCGGGCTGCGCACCCGTGGGGCAATCACTTGCTCTTCACCTTCTGGCTCTCGGTCTTCTTGGGCAGCAGCACGGCCTGGATGTTGGGCAGGACGCCGCCCTGCGCGATGGTCACCCGGCCCAGCAGCTTGTTGAGTTCCTCGTCGTTGCGGATGGCCAGCTGCAGGTGGCGCGGGATGATGCGCGTCTTCTTGTTGTCGCGGGCCGCGTTGCCAGCCAGCTCCAGGATCTCGGCCGTCAGGTACTCCAGCACGGCCGCCAGGTACACCGGGGCGCCGGCGCCCACCCGCTCCGAGTAGTTGCCCTTGCGGAGCAGGCGGTGCACACGGCCCACGGGGAACTGCAGGCCGGCCCGGGAGGAGCGGGGCGGGGCCGCGGGGCGCGGCGCGCGCCGCGCTGGCGGGCGGCCCAATCAAAAGCGCAAATTCCTAGTCCTAATTTACATAGTCCACAGGCTTTCTCCGTCCTGTTGGAATTGGCTGCCGGGAAAGGGAGGACACTGGCTGTAATCCCATCTCCAGGATAGACGAGGCAGGAGGATTGCCAGAAAGCTTGAGGTCGGATTTAGCTATTCTGAGATCCAGACCAGCCTGATAGGAAGGAAGGGAGGGAGGAAGGCAGGGAAGAGAGGGGAGGAAAAAAGGGGAATTAAGGAAAGCCATGCTCATGGTGCTTGTCTGTAATCCCATTTCTTGGAGATGGAGATGAAGGCCGTCGCTCAATGCTCCAAGACGTTAGAATCCTCTGCTCTAAAATAGGCCTAGCCACTGGAAGAAGAATGCTTCGATTTCTTCTTATATATATTCAAATTATAGGCCCGAGACATTTGCAATAAAATAAGGTGTTTTTTTTTTATTTGATTAGCGATTACTTTCCACTGCAGTACTTCAATTTACCATATTTTCTGAAATTACACAAGTGTTGTAATGTCAAACGTTAGTTAAAATGTCATTTAGATTTTTTTTTAGTATCCATTTAGTTAAAAGACCACAAATTTAGCCTCTGCCTATTCTAATTGCGTTTTGATTTCATTGACATAAAGTTCAGAGTGAAGTGTGATGGGGCCTGCCTGTGATCTTAAATATTAAGGAGAATGAGTTCAAGATAATTGTTAGCAACAGAGTCCCCGCCCAGCCTGAGCTACATAGGATCCAGTCATGTATTTATGTATGGCTTTATTGCCTAGCACAAGGATGAATAAACAGTAGCTGGGGTATTAAATACACTCTTTGGATCTGAGCAATATATCCTGCCACCGTAAAGATGATCAATCATCTTGGAGCCAGACAGCTTCCTCAAAATCCTGACATTACCACCTAACAGCTGACTTGGATACATTATTTAATGTTCCTAAGCATTCAGCAAGATATATATACGGAGCTAATGCCTATGGAAGCCTCTGGTGCAGTTACTGGAATGACTTCTACAAACCAGCTTGAATTTGTGTTTATATCAAAGAAAAGTCCTTTCTTTTCTTTTTCTTTTTTTCTTTTTTTTTTTTTTTTTTTGAGATGGGTCTTTACTGAGTTTGAGAAAGTATTCTAGATGCAGGTTTGCCTTATTTTTGTAAGAATTCTAAAGAGCCAAGGATTTAAAATCATGAGATAAAATTTAATGACTCAGGCTTTTTTCCCTCCAGTTGTCCTAGGAATCAATTAATCTTTAACAGAGACAACAACAAATACTGTTTGCTTTATGGGGATTGATGAAGATTGGAACGTACTGGAGATTAAAAGCATTTAGAAATATAAAAATTTAGGAAAACATTTTTCTGCTGGGAGGTATATCTTCAAGACTACAGAAAATAACAATTTACTAAAATGCTCAGTACTCACTAAGGGCTCATTAAGCACCTAGGAAAGTACTGTGAACCCTTCCTTAAATCCTGCTGTCTTCTCAGTGCAGTAAACTTCAGGGCAGTCTTGTCTTAAAAACAGTAACACCGCCACCGCCGGGTGGTGGTGGTGAATGCCTTCAATTCCAGCACTAGGGAGACAGAGACAAATGGATCTCTGAGTTTGAGGCCAGCCTGATCTACAAAGTGAGTTCCAGGCCAATCAGGGTTGTTACACAGAGAAATCCTGTTTCCGAAAGGAAAAAATACAAGACACCGAAAGAGCCCCTTTATGTTTTGGGGACTTGCAGTAAAAGTCCACTCGAAGTCACGCTTCTGACAAATGTTAATTTACAAGACCTTTGAATAATGAGGGGGTGAAATGTGTAGCTGAGCCTGGTCTTCAGCTGGCGGCAATCCTCCTACTGCAACCTCCAGAGACACACCTGGAGAGAACCCTTGGGTTTTAAATGCAAGCTTGAGATGCAAGCTTATTTAAGTGACACCTTACAATGGCTCAGCTAAGTAGCTATAAAAATAGACAGTTGGTTGAAAAGAAAATACTAATGTGCTTGCCGGGCAGGAGAAGCAGAAAATCCACACACTGCAGAAAAAACAAAACAGAGGGTGAAGAGGAGAGTAAATCATTTTCTTAGCTCGGTCACAAGAGAAAGGGACCATCCACTCAAAAGATCCACGCGTGAAAATGTAAATTGCATTACCCTAAGCTGAATTTCTATTGCTAGTTCCTATTCATTTTCGCGTCACTTTGCAGTAGTGTCAGAATAAGCATTCTGCTTAGAAAATAACTCGGAGCGTACTGAATATAGCAAGCATAATGGGGCCTTTTTATTTGCGCTAAAGAAGAGGAAAATAAGTTGTTATTTTATATTGTTTAAATTTTCAAACGTGCTAGGGTTTTCCAGATTGGGGGAGAACATTGAGTCTTTCCCCGTCTTGATTGGAGCTACCGCAGCAGGGAGTAAAGAGCCGGGGTGGGGGTGGGGCCTATAGCTCCGCCCACGGGTTGCTGTTTTCAAACAGGTCCGCTCCTAGGGAATATAAGCTCTGGCTTGGGCGCACTGCATTGTAGTTCTCTCTTGTTTCTCTGCTGATTGTTTGTTCACCATGTCTGGACGTGGCAAAGGCGGCAAAGGGCTCGGAAAAGGCGGCGCCAAGCGACACCGCAAGGTCCTGCGCGATAACATCCAGGGCATCACAAAGCCCGCCATCCGGCGTTTGGCCCGGCGCGGCGGCGTCAAGCGTATCTCGGGGCTCATCTACGAGGAGACCCGCGGCGTTCTCAAAGTGTTCCTGGAGAACGTGATCCGCGACGCTGTCACCTACACCGAGCACGCCAAGCGCAAGACGGTCACGGCCATGGACGTGGTCTACGCGCTCAAGCGCCAGGGCCGCACTCTTTATGGCTTTGGCGGCTAAGCGCGGCTGTCGGCTCTAGGCCGTCTTGGTCTCTCGCAACCCCAACCCAACGGCCCTTTTCAGGGCCCCCAGAGCATCAGGACGGAGCTGGGACACTTGCGATCGGCCTGGGTTACTTGGAGGGAGGCTGGGGCGCCCAGGGAGCGAGCGCTGGGTTTCTGGCTTGCATTGTGTATGCAAATGAGGTTGCCTGGGGGCAGGTTCCTATTGGAGCGGCATTCCCCGTGGCTCCGCCCACCGGCGGAGAAAGTGATCCGCGGGCTTGCTGGGTGCTGTTGGTCTGCGTGGATGATTTTTCCTCGCTTGTTTCTGGGTGCCGGGCACAAAGCTGGCGACGCGTGGGGGGTGCTCGGAGGCTGCGCTCAGCTTTGCGACCTCTAGATCTCGGAAGCGGCGGGCTGTGGCTGCTGCTCTCCAGAGGGGAAAAGGTTGAAGGTCCACGGTCCTTAAGGGCGTCAGAAAACAGGCTTGGGACCCCAGAATAGGAGATGTCCCTGCAGCGTGAAGCTGTAGCTATTTTCCTGCTTGAACGATGTGTCTTTCCTTGGGAAAAGGAGAGGACTTGCAGTCCACATTTAGCTTAGGGTGGTCAACTTCCCCAGTTCGGATTCCTCAAACCGTGCTGTCTCGTTTTTGTTTTGTTTTTTGAAACAGGGTTTCTCAGTATTGTTTTGGAGGTTGTCCTGGAATTCGCTCTGGAGACCAGGCTGGCCTCGAACACAGATCCACCTGCCTCTGCCTCCCGAGTGCTGGGATTAAAGGCGTGCACCACCACCGCCCGGCTTGTAAATCTCATTTTACCGGAGCTGCTCTTACAGAAAACCTGTTGGTTTCTAAACACCCAGGTGTGGGTTAGTTTACAATCTCCTGTAGCTCCAGCTCCGGGGAATCTATGTGCCTTTGGCTTCCTTGGGCACGTGGACTCAGATCTGCATATCCATTCTCCTTACACATAACTAAGAACAGTGATTTTATTTTTTCAATGTCCTAGTTCTTTGACATTGGAAACACTACTCTTCTGGCTTAGGGAATAGGAGATGTCCTGGGGTTTCCCTCAGGAGGAACCTGGCGTTTCTTTAGGAACGGTTATCTCGTGAAATGCGTTCTATGTAGCAGGTATTTTGTACCATCTTTCAGCACATTTAAGTATTGTTAAATTTAAGTTTATAGCTTTGGACAGGACGACAATGGATAAAAAATTGGAGGCTGTGAGATTTTTACACAGCTTCATCATATGTGCCACTTTTTGCCGGTCAGGCTCCCCTGCCTCCTTCTGAGCAGACAACGCTGGTGTGTTCATTTCAGAGGACGTTAGTCTAACGAACACATTTCCTTCAAGCAAGTGAAAAGCTGAATTGCTTGTTTTCCTTTAGAAGGATTTCCAGTTGCCGTTATTTGGTTTTATATTTTCAAATTCTTTCATTTTTCTTTTTGTCCAGTGAACTATTTTTTCCTAAATTAAGTTTGCTCAGATCTTGTTCCTTTCCCCTTATCCAGGGGACCATGTATGTCTCTCTTAGGGTCCTCCTTGTTTACTAGCTTCTCTGGCAGTGTGGACTGTAGGCTGGTAATGCTTTACTCTATGTCTAAAATCCACATATGAGTGAGTACATATGCTTGTAAAGCCATATGTTTTATCAACATTTTAAACACAGAAAATGCAATAAGAAGTGTTTATCACCCCCCCACACACACACACACACTCTTTAACAAGTATATTTTGGTTATTTTAGAAAAAAATGTATCAAATGTCTACATCTATTACTAGCAAAGAGAAATGAAATGTAAGCACCATCTAATGTTACACAAATTCAAAAGAATCGTGTTGCTGCAATCACTGTAGAAATCCTATGGAAGTTTCTCATAAAGGTTAAACTTGAGCTGCCATGTAGTCCTGCTGCCCCAGTCTTCGGTTTGTACTCGAAGGACTCTTAGTCCCCATACCTGACATCCATGGGCATCCATACTCATTGCTGCTCTTTTTCATGAGAGCCAGGAAACAACCAACCAGTGTGTCCATCACCGGATGAAGGGATGAAGAAATTCTGGTATTAGTACCCTATGGCTTTTACTGAGTGGTAAAGAAAAATGAAATCTCCATGTTGACGGGAGGATGAGTGGAAGAGGAAATCAGTATGTTAAGCAAAATCAGTCTCTGAAAGGAAGCCTGTATTTTCTTCAATGTAGAGTTGGCATATGTGTATGTGATTGTATGTGTGTTGTAGGTCACGACACTGGAAGGGATGCCGGAGGGGGGATGGAATACAGGGGGGGGGGGGAGTTAATTATACTGCAGAACAAAGTATAGCGATCTGTGTATGCAAACACCATGACGAGGTGCATTGTTACTGTATATTACATCTCTCACCTTTCATTCATCTTTCTCTGCTTGATGGAAATCATGGCCATATAATGCTCATTATTAAGTTGAACAGCCAGCACTCTGGAAGCAAAGGCAGGTGGATCTCTGTGAGTTCGAGGTCAGCCTGGTCTACAGAGTAAGTTCCAGGATAGCCAGGGCTACACAGAGAAACCCTGTCTCAAAAAGAAAGAAAGAAAGAAAGAAAGAAAGAAAGAAAGAAAGAAAGAAAGAAAGATTGAATACTAGCAAGCTTGCATATCCCTGAGGCACTATATCTGAGTAGTCAACCCTCTGACATACTTTGTGTGAGGGGAAAAGTGTGATGTTTTGGGTTTAGGGGTTTGGTTGTCTTTGATTTTACTATGTCTGGTCATTTTAAGAATGAATCATGGGCTTGAGAGAAGGCCCAGTGGTTAAGAGTCCTGGCTGCTCTTCTGGAGGCCAGAGTTTGGTTCCCAGACCCCACATCAGGACTCTGACTCCAGCTCCCGGGGACCCAATGGCTCTCATCTCCAAGAGCACCTGGGCTTATACTGGCACACCCACACACAAAGAGCAACCCCACATGATGGACCGGGCATTTCAGTTCAGTACCAGGTCTCAAAGTGAGGCTTTCATGTAAGAAGGTTTAGAGGTGTCCTACACCTGCAGCCGTGATAATACTCTGACAACAAGCAAGTTAGGAAAGAAAGGGTTTACATGGCTGGCAACCCCAGGGTACAGTCCATTATTGCAAGGAAACTAAGACCAGAGCATAAATCGTATTCAGCCAGCTTTCTGTATTCTTCCCCGCCCGGGAAATGGTGCCACCCACCTCAATTAGCAACCAAGGCAGTATCTCCCACAGCCGTACAGACAACCTGATTTAGGCAATGTCTGGGTTGAAACCCTCTTTCCTGGCTTTCAAGATTGTGTCGGTACTAAATGATTGGCCTGTTATCTGGCAACAAGCAGCACGCTCCTGGGCCTGGTGAAACAAAAGGCTGTCTGTCTCCTTTTCCCCCACCATGAGCTCAACTCAGACTAAATTGCTCAGTGGGGACATAGATTTGTATGAAAGTAACCTTTCAGAGGTGGAAGGGGACCTCTTCTAAGCCTTCCTCTTCCAATTTCGAATTTACTGCTGGATGAGTGGTAATGGGTAGGTATGCAGCCCTCCCACTCACCCCACCCCACTAAAGTGAGTTTCAGACTCTACAGTCTTTTCTTACAGAAATAAATACGAGATCTGTTCTCATTCATTACCCTGAGTTCAGGGTTGGTGATGTAGCTCAGTGTAAAACACTTGCCTGGAATGTGTGAAGTTCTAGCTTCAATTCCCAGCACAAACCAAAAATATGACCATTCAGCTGGTTTGTGTCTGTGACAGGGGCTCAGTAAAGAAACTGCCAAGACAGCCACTCCATCATTAGGTAGAAGGATTTTATTGTGAACAAAGAGAGAAGATCCAGAAACATCTGCAAGATTCCATAGCAGAGAGAAAAAGTGGATTAATTTATCACCAGTTCAAAGATAGCTTGTAGTTTATGTCTCCCAACTAAACCTTTTTTATAACCCATATACTCAATTACCAAATTAAAAGCAAATTATCTGTGTTTTCACTGTTAATGACCTCCATAGGTGGTAAAAACATTCTGCCATTGCCACCACCCCAGTCCTTTCAGATTTATTGACTTTTATTCCTCCTGAGACAAGATCTGGCTCTAGCCCAAGCTGTCCTCACCCTCGTGACCTCTGCCTCTGCCTCCAAAAGCTGGGATCATAGGCCACCACTACCACATCCAAGGTTTTATTTTAGATCTGTTTAAATTGCCATTACTTTTTACTTGTATTGTTTATTCTTATTTGAGGTTTTGGAGATCAATAGCACTATATGAACTCATAAACACATCCTGTTGCCCAGAATTCTCCTCTTACAAGTCTATTGTACTTTTGTATTTGAATCGTAACTGATTTTAACAAAATAAAACATTTTATTTAGAACAAGTGGCTGGGTGGTGGTAGCACACACCTTTAATCCCAGAACTCGGGAGGCAAAGGCATGTGGATCTCTGTGAGTTCAAGGCCAGCCTGGTCTACCGAGCGAGTTTCAGGACAGCCAAGGTTATATAGAGAGGCCCTGTCTCAAAACAAACAAAAAACATACACAACATGAATGTTGGCTATTCAAATGACTTGGGTGGCCGGGACAAGTTTCCCTGCCCCTGTAGCACCCCTAACAGATAGGCTCTGACCCTGAAGAGCCCCAAGTGCCAGGCCCTATGCCCAGAGTTCTCTGCCATAATGGCCATTCCCTAGTGGCTTTAACAGCCATTCTCAGCCCTCTGAGGTGGGAGAGTGGCCAGGCCCCACCCTATAGAAAAAAAATCCCACCATTTCGGATCTTGCCCCAAGATCAAACCACATAATTCCTCCAATCTCAAATCACCCTAGAAAGCCACTCCCGCCACCCCCACTCCTCACCTCCCCCCCACCCCAAGAAACTCTATAATCTAGTCTTATACTCAGTTCTCGGCTGCTTCTCACCTGAGCATAGGTAGCCACCCTGCTGGGTTTTCCCCTCCCAATAAATCTCTTGTGTGACATTTGTTTGTCTTATTCCTTGGCTCTCAACTACCAGGACACCTTTCCCCTTGGAGCTGTAACATTTGCAATGACTTATCAGGTAAAGTCACTTGCTGCAACACCTGATGACCTGAATTTGATTCCAGAGACCCAAACTCTGCAAATTGTCCTCTGACTTCTATACATTCACATAGTGACCCCCTAATAAATAAATAAAT